CGACCCCTTAATACAGTTCCTCATGTTGTGGTGACCCCCCAACCATAAAATTATTTTCGTTGCTACTTCATAACTGTAATTTTGCAGTAGGAGGAATAGTGCCACGTCATTGGTGTCAGTGGGAGGAATAGTGTCCCGTCATTGGTGTCAGTGGGAGGAATAGTGCCCCGTCATTGGTATCAGTGGGAGGAATAGTGCCCCGTCATTGGTGTCAGTGGGAGGAATAGTGCCTCGTCATTGGTGTCAGTGGGAGGAATAGTGCCCCATCATTGGTATCAGTGCGAGGAATAGTGCCCCATCATTGGTGTCAGTGTGAGGAATAGTGTCCCATCATTGGTGTCAGTGGGAGGAATAGTGTCCCATCATTGGTATCAGTGGGAGGAATAGTGTCCCATCATTGGTATCAGTGGGAGGAATAGTGCCCCATCATTGGTGTCAGTGGGAGGAATAGTGCCCCATCATTGGTATCAGTGGGGGGGAATAGTGTCCCATCATTGGTATCAGTGGGAGGAATAGTGCCCCATCATTGGTGTCAGTGGGAGGAATAGTGCCCCATCATTGGTATCAGTGGGAGGAATAGTGCCCCATCGTTGGTATAAGTGGGAGGAGGAATAGTGCCCCATCCTTGGTGTCAGTGGGGGGAGGAATAGTGCCCCATCCTTGGTGTCAGTGGGGGGAGGAATAGTGCCCCATCCTTGGTGTCAGTGGGGGGAGGAATAGTGCCCCATCCTTGGTGTCAGTGGGGGGAGGAATACTGCCCCATCCTTGGTGTCAGTGGGGGGAGGAATACTGCCCCATCCTTGGTGTCAGTGGGGGGAGGAATTGTGCCCCATCGTTGGTGTCAGTGGGGGGAGGAATTGTGCCCCATCGTTGGTGTCAGTGGGGGGAGGAATCGTGCCCCATTGTTGGTGTCAGTTGGGGGAATAGTGTCCCATCGTTGGTGTCAGTGGGAGGAATAGTGCCCCATCGTTGGTGTCAGTGGGAGGAATAGTGTCCCATCGTTGGTGTCAGTGGGAGGAATAGTGCCCCATCATTGGTGTCAGTGGGAGGAATAGTGTCCCATTGTTGGTGTCAGTGGGAGGAATAGTGCCCCATCATTGGTATTAGTGACACCAATGATGGGGCACTATTCCCACTGACACCAATGATACTTACCTTGCAGACCCTTGCTCCAGCCTGGGCTCGCTCGCTCCCTCCCTCTCCCATGGTACCAACACTTACCTGTCAGATGTCTTCCTTCTCCGGCCACTCTCCTCCTCTTCACTCGCTCGATCTTCGCGGTGCCGCTCGGCTCCTCCTCTCCAAGCTCCACCTCTTTGCCGGTGATTGGCCGCCTGTGTGCCTCTCCTGAGCTACAGTGCCGGCGGCCAATCACAGGCGAGGATTGATCTCGAGGTGTGTCCAGATGACAGGGGCGGCATGTCATCCCGCCCACACCTGGAGACGGCGGTGGCGGCGGCGAGGAGCGGTGTCTCGGTTCCTAAGACCATCGGAAATATGTGTTTTCCGATGGTCTTAGGCGACCCCTGTGGAAGCGTCGTTCAACCCCCAGGTTGAGAACCGCTGCTGTAGAGGATGTGCTTATGTTTTAAGCAGAACTTCACTCTCTCAGTCAACATTGGCTATTTGCAATCCTTATGCTGCTAGCATTATTAAATAAATAGGAATGTATATTACATTTACTTTTTTTTTTTTTAACATTTCTTCAATTACTTCCTGGATTCCATGCTTAGGCAAATGATGTAATACATCCCAGGAGTCTTCAGGAGGGGAGGAGGGGCTTTCTCAGATAAGCACACCCTCCTGCATGCTTGAGCTAAGGGCAGACAGATTTTAAGAAGTAAATGATGGATCATCTGCCCATACTCAAGATGGACACATCCAGAAATGCTCGGGCGTGTTTTTCAGCATGATTTCTCAGCAAAATCATGGAGACGTATGGATGGGAGAGTTATCTTTGAATATTAAAAATTAATAAAATAAGGTTTTTGCTTTGTGGAACTCAGATGCAGTGTGGTTCTGCTTCAAGGGCCCCACTGACAAACATTTTGAGTCCCTTACTAATACCTTGTTGTCTTTGGAAGGCCCTGCCTTGCAATCTGTCCTGACTTTGATGCTTGTCAGCCAGGCTTTAGCTGACTGGGATAAGGCCATGAGAAGGGATCTGGTTACAATTCAAGATGATCTCTTACTAATAGAGCATTTGGAGTTTATGCCGGCAGTTTTGAGCTACTGTGTCGATGGTTTGTTTGATGTCTCCAGTCTCATTTCTTCTGTATTAAAGTGTTGGTCTATGAAAACGACATTTAAATTAGGCTGCTTTGCATGCCCTTCAGGGGACAGTTTATAATTATGCTGCTCTGGATACCCTTATCAAGAATGGCATAGAAGGTAAGAGTATTCACCTTCCCCAGCAGAAGTCTAGAGCTCAGCCTGGGAAGGCTCATCCACCTTGGAGGCCAAGTAAATTTACTTTCATTATTCCCAGGCCTCAACTCCCAAACCCAAGATTGGTTCCTAGTCTTACCCACAAAGCCTGGGCTTCCAAGCCCTCTTCTTCAACATAAGAGACTGCCTCCACTTTCCAAAGTGCAGGGATGTCTGTTAGCCTTTGCATACATACGGTCAACCAATATATCACGTGCTTGGGTGGGGGAGGTGGTTTCCAGGGGCTTCCAGCTAGAATTTTACTCCCAGCATCTCAACTGTTCATGCCTTCTAACCAGCTTGTGTCACTGCACAGACTAGGAACTCTATATAACAGCTCTTCTGGGGCAGGGGTCATTTCCCAGTATTTGTGATGTAATGGTTACAGGGGTTTTACTCCAATCTGTTCACAGTTCCAAAGCTAAAAGGGGGCATCTACCCCAACTCAGGGCCCTAAATGTCTTCATTTAGACCCAGAATCTACATGGAATCCACAAGTTCTGTTATCAGAGCATGTCCCCATTTCCCAGTCCCCACACTTGCATGTCTCCATTTCCTTTTCTTCCATTAAGGGAAATAGAAATTTAGAGACTGGAAGGTTTACTGCTGCCTAGAGAAGAATTGGAAACTGGCAGCCAAAAATACTGTGCGCCAGCCCCAGTATAACCTCTTCTACTCCTGGAATGCTTTAGTTTTTCAGTTTGTCGGATACCTTTTTTCTTTAGGATTCCTAGTACATCGCTGCTGGCCTGGTCTGGAATTGCCTTTACTTAGCTTGAACTGAAAGTGCCGTACCTAGACTCTTGGGCTGCATGGTGCAGGGCTATGTCTACATTCTACTAGATCTGTGGGTGGTTCTGGGGCATTTTAGCATCAGACAACTGATTCCCAGATTTGCAAGGCTGCCACCTGGTCTTCTGTTCACACATTCCATACGTTTTACTAGGTGGATGTTCAGGTCTCATCTGATGCGAGCATGAGACTTAAGGTGTTTCAGAGGGTTCTTTGAACTGCAGGCTGCCCCTAGTTTTACTCTTTTGTAATGTGTGTCTGTTAGTGTTTTTTTATTGTTGCCCACCACTTAGTTGGACCAGATGTATCTGGATGGCTGCTTTCTGTGTCCTTTAATTAACGAGAAAGAAGAATTTTGCATGTACTGTAAAATTTGTTTCTTACTGTTCATTAAGGGATACAGGTTCCACCCATCTGTGTTTGGGATCTATTCTTAGTTCTGCTTTTCTACAAAACTAAAGCATTATATAAGTGGGTTATATCTTTCTGGCCAGTGGCTTTTTCGTTTACCAGTGTCAAACTCCTCCTGAAGGTACAGTACAACCCAACTGTATCTGATCAACTGAATCCTGTGTCCCCTAATAAACACATTCAAGAAACACATTTTAGAGTAAGTACAAAAATCCATTGTTTTGTATCCGCCTGCCCCCAAAAAAGTCAATATTTTATTATCATAATTAAAGAATAAATTGTACACAAAACCACTGTACACTCCCCTTAAGACTAAGTAATCATATTCTTTGCCCAGTAATGACCGGATCCTTCTAAGAGTAGTGTTTTGATTTCATACAGCATGAAAGTAGCGCTGACAGTCCAGAGGTACCAAGGTCAGAGTTAAAAGGCAAGAAGCCATTTGGACACAGGGGTCGCAAAACAGGAAGTGGGAAAAATGCTTCAGGAGCCAGTGGTGCATCTTCTACAGGTATTTTACCACAAATATTTCTCTGTTAAATATGTTGTTTCCAGTTTGTTATAACAAGCCACAAAGACATACCTTGTATATCTGTGTCGTTGTAAGAACCAGCAGCCTGAAGTTGTGAGTCACTGTTCTTTCTGCTGTATTTTTTAGTTAACTGCTGTTCTAGCTGTACACTACATGTACCCACTGTAATTTGTCTCCCTGAGTTGACTGATGCTTCTATGGGGTACCTATGATCTAAAGGGATAATTCCCTTTTTATTCTTTGTTATTTGTGAGCACTTCCAACACTGATGAAAGTTATTACTTGGAAGTTAGCCCAAGCATTGCCCAACTGTTGCAAGCTTTACAGATATTGGTCATATATTGTGTGGCCAATGTCAGAAATCTGTACTTTTTTGTATAACTGAATATGGAAATAGTGATGTTCACTGTAACTGTTTAAAAAGAGATGTATGCAGGGTCAGTCCCCCAAAACCAACACCCACCAGCTTCTTATATTTCAGAACTCTGTCAGGGAGACTTTCTCACTGGAGTTTCCAAAAAATAAGAGAAAACAGTGGGTGATAATCCCGTCAGGATGCACAAATACCTGAAATATAAGATTTGGTGCAGTGACTGTCTCCGACATTTGTAAATATTCCACCTTCACTTGTTGTGGGTAGAAGTAGTCTTCTCTCACTAGATCTCCCACTGCAGGTAGTGTTTCCTCTCCTCCTGATTTGGTCACTTTCCCCAAGTTGGAAGAACAGGAGGAGGAAGAGGAGGATGATGAAGAAGAAGATGATGAGGATGCAGGGAGAACCTCCAGGCCAACACCATCATCTCCTCCAGAACTCACCTTCTCCAGCTTTGGTTCCATCATGCGCTTCTCTAGTGAATCCTTAACACACCCCCGACCATGGGATCCATCCTCTGGGGAAGCTAGACAACAGAAGTGGAACAGAGATGGTACTGAGCCCCCACGAGAAAAGAAACACAAAGGCAGCCAGAAAAGCAGGCATGGTCCTGGAAGACCCCGGGGGAGTAAGAACAACACACCACATAGTATATCCTCGTCCACGTTGCCTCTTCCTCCACGGCATTACACACACCAGTCTACTCTTCATAGTGTCAACATGGAGTCATCCCTACTATCCTCAGGTAAAGTAACGACACATGCTTGGGTGTTTGCCCCTTCCTGATTATTATTTTTGGGGGTTTTTTTTTGCATATTTGTCACACCTAAATGATTCAGATCATCAAACACATTTTTAATATCACACAATAATAATGTGAGTAAATAAAAAATGCAGTTTTTAAATGATGATTTCCTTTATTAAGGGGAAAAAGCTGTCCAAACCTGCCTGGCCCTATGTGAAAAAAGTTATCCCCCCCCCTTGCTAAACAGTGATTAACCAAATTTAAGCTGGGTTAAATTTCAGTTGCCACACCCAGGCCTGATTACTGCCAGACCTGTTAAATCAGGAAATCACTTAAATAGAAGCTGTCTGATAAAGTGAAGCACGCTAAAAGATCTCGAAAGCAACACATCATACTACGATCTAAAGAAATTCAGGTACAGATTAGAAACAAAGTCATTGACATGTATTCGTCTGGAAAGGGTTACAAAGCCATTTCTAAAGCATTTCATAAAAAGAACATCATAACAATAGTCAAACGTGGTGGTAGTGTGATGTTTTGGGGCTGCTTTGCAGCTTCAGAACCTGAACGACTTACCATAATTGATGGAACCATGAATTCTGCGTTCTACGAGAAAAACCTTAAGGAGAATGACCAGTCATCAGTTCCTGACGTGAAGATCAAGTACACATGGGTTATGTAGCAGGACAATGATCCAAAACACACAAGCAAGTCCACCTCTGAATGGCTCGAAAAAAAACAAAATTAAGGTTTTGGAGTGGCCTAGTCAATTGAGATGCTGTGGGAAGACCTTAAACAGGCCGTAAACAGGGCAAAAATGCTCCAATGTGGCTGAGATAAAACAATTCTGCAAAGAAGAGTGGGCTGAAAAGTCTCATTGCCAGTTATCACAAATGCTTGATTGCAGTTGTTGCCGCCAAGGGTGGCACAACCAGTTATTAGGTTTAGGGGCAATTACATTTTTACATAGGACCGGGCAGGTTTGGACAGATTTCTCCCTTTAAGTGTCACTAAACCCAGGACCCTTCATTCATTCTATCTTGTCTCCCACAGAACATAGAATTGCAATTAGTTTAGTAAAATAAATGGATAAATACTTTTTCTTATCAGCAGTTAGAGCAATCTTGGGACTTCTATCAGTGTTCAGCAGAGCACTGGTTAAAGCTTGTAGGAGGAGTTTTCTTTCTGCTCTTGGAGGATGCAAATCCCCTGACCTCTGTCTGGACAGTGCTGATTGGCCCTGGTCTGATCACATGCACTCTCCCAAGAAAAGAAAAAAACCTTTCTAGTAATACACACCAAACTGAACATGTGCAGAGTGTCTCCACACCATACGTCTTATCAGGAGATAAGAGGGGGCACTGTATGAAGGGGAGGATCAGAGAAGTCAGGAGCAAACCGCATTTTTACACAAATGCAGATGATTAACCCCTTAGGTTTCACAGTGCATGCTTTACTGCATATACAGACTGATTTTACTGTTGTGGGTTTAGTAACACTTTAAAAAAGTGCATTTTGTATTCACTCAGGTTATCTCTGCGTAATATTAACATTTTTGTGTAAATACTGTGTATGTGTGTATATATATATATATATATATATATATATATATATATATATATATATACACAGTGGGGCAAAAAAGTATTTAGTCAGCCACCAATTGTGCAAGTTCTCCCACTTAAAAAGATGAGAGAGGCCTGTAATTGGTATCATAGGTAGACCTCAACTATGAGAGACAAAATGAGAAAAGAAATCCAGACAATCACATTGGCTGATTTGGAAAGAATTTATTTGCAAATTATGGTGGAAAATAAGTCACCTACAAACAAGCAAGATTTCTGGCTCTCACAGACCTGTACCTTCTTCTTTAAGAGGCTCCTCTGTCCTGCACTCATTACCTGTATCAATGGCACCTGTTTGAACTTGTTATCAGTATAAAAGACACCTGTCCACAACCTCAAACAGTCACACTCCAAACTCCACTATGGTGAAGACTAAAGAGCTGTCGAAGGACACCAGAAACAAAATTGTAGACCTGCACCAGGCTGGGAAGACTGAATCTGCAATAGGCAAGCAGCTTGGTTTGAACAAATCAACTGTGGGAGCAATATTTAGAAAATGGAAGACATACAAGACCACTGATAATCTCCCTCGATCTGGGGCTCCACGCAAGATCTCACCCCGTGGAGTCAAAATAATCACAAGAACGGTGAGCAAAAATTCCAGGACCACACGGGGGGATCTAGTGAATGACCTGCAGAGAGATGGGACCAACGTAACAAAGGCTACCATCAGTAACACACTACGCCACCAGGGACTCAGATCCTGCAGTGCCAGATGTGTCCCCCTGTTTAAGCCAGTACATGTCCGGGCCCGTCTGAAGTTTGCTAGAGAGCATTTGGGTAATCCAGAAGAGGATTGGGAGAATGTCATATGGTCAGATGAAACCAAAATAGAACTGTTTGGTAGAAACACAACTCGTCGTGTTTGGAGGCGAGAGAATGCTGAGTTGCATCCAAAGAACACCATACCTACTGTGAAGCATGGGGGTGGCAACATCATGCTTTGGGGCTGTTTCTCCGCAAAGGGACTAGGACGACTGATCCATGTACAGGACAGAATGAATGGGGCCATGTATCGTGAGATTTTGAGTGCAAATCTCCTTCCATCAGCAAGGGCATTGAAGATGAAACGTGGCTGGGTCTTCCAACATGACAATGATCCCAAGCATACCGCCCGGGCAACGAAGGAGTGACTTCGTAAGAAGCATTTCAGGGTCCTGGAGCGGCCTAGCCAGTCTCCAGATCTCAACCCCATAGAAAACCTTTGGAGGGAGTTGAAAGTCTGTGTTGCCCAGCGACAGCCCCAAAACATCACTGCTCTAGAGGAGATTTGCATGGAGGAATGGGCCAACATACCAGCAACAGTGTGTGCCAACCTTGTGAAGACTTACAGGAAACGTTTGACCTCTGTCATTGCCAACAAAGGATATATAACAAAGTATTGAGATGAACTTTTGATATTGACCAAATACTTATTTTCCACCATAATTTGCAAATACATTCTTTCCAAATCAGCCAATGTGATTGTCTGGATTTTTTTTTCCCATTTTGTCTCTCATAGTTGAGGTCTACCTATGATGCCAATTACAGGCCTCTCTCATCTTTTTAAGTGGGAGAACTTGCACAATTGGTGGCTGACTAAATACTTTTTTGCCCCACTGTGTATATATATATATATATATATATATATATATACACACACACACATACAGTGCATCCAGAAAGTATTCACAGCGCCTAACTTTTGCCACATTTTGTTATGTTACAGCCTTATTTCAAAATGGATTAAATTAATTTTTTCCCTCAACCTTCTACAAACAATACCCCATAATGACAACGTGAAAGAAGTTTGTTTTGAAATCTTTGCAATTTATTAAAAAAAAAAAAAAAAAAAAACACATGTACATAAGTATTCACAGCCTTTGCCATGACACTCAAATTTAAGCTCTGGTGCATCCTGTTCCCACTGATCATCTTTGAGATGTTTCCACAACTTGATTGGAGTCCACCTGTGGGAAATTCAGTTGATTGGACATGATTAGGAAAGGCATACACCTGTCTATATAAGGTCCTACAGTTAACAGTGCAAGTCAGGGCACAAACCAAGCCATGATGTCCAAGGAATTGTCTGTAGACCTAGACAGGATTGTATCAAGGCACAGATCTGGGGAAGGGTACAGAAAAATGTCTGCAGCATTGAAGGTCCCAATGAGCACAGTGGCCTCCATAACCCGTAAATGGAAGAAGTTTGGAACCACCAGGAATCTTCCTAGAGCTGGCCGCCCGGCCAAAATGAGCGATTGAGGGAGAAGGGCCTTAGCCAGGGAGGTAACCAAGCACCCGATGGTCACTCTGAAAGAGCTCCAGCGTTTCTCTGTGGAGAGAGGAGAACCTTCCAGAAGAACAACCATCTCTGCAGCACTCCACCAATCAGGCCTGTATGGTAGAGTGGCCAGACAGAAGCCACTCCTCAGTAAAAGGCAAATGGCAGCACTCCTGAAGTTTGCCATAAGGCACCTGAGGGACTCTCAGACCATGAGAAACAAAACTCTTTGGTCTGATGAAACAAAGATTGAACTCTTTGGCCTGAATGCCAAGTGTCATGTCTGGAGGAAACCAGGCACCGCTCACCACCTGGCCAATACCATCCCTACAGTGAAGCACGGTGGTGGCAACATCATGCTGTGAGGATGTTTTTCAGCAGCAGGAACTGGGAGACTAGATCGAAGGAAAGATGAATGCACCAATGTACAGAGACATCCTTGATGAAATTGTGTTCCAGAGCGCTTTGGACCTTAGATTGGGGCGATGCTTTATCTTTCAACAAGACAACAACCCTAAGCACACAGCCCACATAACAAAAGAGTGGCTCCGGGCCAACTCTGAATGTCCTGGAGTGGCCCAGCCGGAGCCCAAACGTGAACCCATTCCCCATCCAACCTGATGGAGCTTAAGAGGTACTGCAAAGAAGAATGGGAGAATTTGCCCAAAAATAGGTGTGCTAAGCTTGTAGCATCATACTCAAAACGACTTGAGGCTGTAATTGGTGCTAAAGGTGCTTCAACAAAGTATTGAGCAAAGTTGTGAATCCTTATGTACAGTTGTGTTCAAAATAATAGCAGTCAGACATCACTAACCGGATCAATCACTGTTTTTGGTAGAAATGATATTTCTACATGGCAAATAATTTACTAGCAGGTGTAGTAGAGTAATAGAAATCCAACAGACCCAACAGTCATGACATGCATGCTGCTGATTCTGTGTAATTGAATCACTGATTGAATGGGGCATGTTCAAAATAATATCAGTGTGGAGTTCTGTTAGTGAGGTCATTCATTCTTTGAAAAACAGGTGGCAATTATTGCCCTTATTTAAGGAAGGAAGGCAGCAAATGTTGTACATGCTGGTTACAGTGCATTTCTCTGAAATTCTGAGGAAAATGGGTCATTCCAGACATTGTTCAGAAGAACAGCGTACCTTGATTAAAAAGTTGATAGTGGAGGGGAAAACATATAAAGAAGTGCAGAAAATGATAGGCTGCTCAGCTAAAATTATCACAAATGCTTTAAAATGGCAACCAAAACCTGAAAGACATGGAAGAAAGCGAAAAACTACCATTCGAATGGATAGAAGAATAAGCAAAATGGCAAGGACTCAGCCAACAATCAGCTCCAGGAAGATTAAAGAAGGTCTAAAGTTACCTGTGAGTACTGTTACAATTAGAAGACGCCTATGTGAAGCCAAGCTATCTGCAAGAAGCCCCCGCAAAGGCCCACTGTTGAAAAAAAGACGTGCTGAAGAGGTTACAATTTGCCAAAGAGGACATTGACTGGCCTAAAGAGAAATGGCGCAACATTTTGTGGACTGATGAAAGTAAGATTGTTCTTTTTGGGTCTAGTAGCTGGAGACGGTTTGTCAGACGACCCCCAAACACTAAATTCAAGCCACAGTACACTGTGAAGACAGTGAAGCATGGTTGCGCAAGCATCATAATATGGGGATGTTTCTCATACTACGGTGTTGGGCCTATTTATCGCATACCAGGGATCATGGATCAGTTTGAATACATCAGAATACTTGAAGAGGTCATGCTGCCTTATTCTGAAGAGGAAATGCCCTTGAAATGGGTGTTCCAACAAGACAACGACCCCAAACACACCAGTAAACGTGCAACATCTTGATTCCAGACCAACAAGATTGACGTTATGGAGTGGCCAGCCCAATCCCCGGATCTTAATCCAATAGAAAACTTGTGGGGTGACATCAAAAATGCAGTTTCTGAGGCAAAACCAAGAAATAGAGAAGAACTGTGGAATGTAGTCCAATCATCCTGGGCTGGAATACCTGTTCACAGGTACCAGAAGTTGGGTGACTCCATGCAACACAGACGTACAGCAGTTCTCAGAAACAGTGCTTATACAACTAAATATTCATTAAGTGATTCAAAGGAAAGCAAAATCTTCAAACATTTTTCAGTTTATATAGTTAAAGTTCGAGTTTGTAAAGAAGAATACAAACACTGCTATTTTTTTGAACAGTCTAATATTCACTTTTCTTCAATTTTTTTAGAGGAACAACACAAATTTGATGTATTTTTCTTCATGTTTTGATTTGGAATAGAATGTGTAGTGTTCCCAATGCATTTGTGTGTATGGAAAAAAAAGCTATTAGAAGGATTTTGAGCTTCATTCACTTTTTTCAACACACTGCTATTATTTTGAACACAACTGTACATGTGGGGTTTTTTTCGTTTTTTATTTTTAATACATTTCAGAGATTTAAAAACGAACGTCTTTCACATTGTCATTATAAGGTATTGTTTGTGGAATGTTGCGGGAAAAAATGAATTTAATCCATTTTGGAATAAGGCTGTAACATAACAAAATGTGGCAAAAGTTAAGCGCTGTGAATACTTTCTGGATGCACTGTATATTTTTTTTTTCCCATCCTCTTGGCCCCTTTTGGAGCACTCTGATGATGAATACATAAAGCCTTGTCTGAGTGACATAATTTTTCTACATAACCAGTGCTTTAGATTCATGTTCATAATGGGAATGTTAGGCCAGTGTGGTTATGTTGTTTTTCTTTATGTGCAGGTATTACGTGACCTTCTTCTTTCAGGTATCTACACCAGTAATAAGGACCCCATCTCCGTAAGGACGGCGTGCAGCACCCCACTCCCTTCCAGCATCTTGTCTCACCAGACCTCCCTTCCTCCATACAGCAGAGCTTGCTCCATAACCCCTTCTTCCACAGCCTCTACCACACAGGTCAGAAACTAAACAGACAGTAATCCAAATGCATTTAGACTGTAAGAGCATACTTTCTGTGTGAAAAATGCACACTTTTCACCTTGAAATCCTCAGACTTGGTTTTAGTAGGAGGAACAGTGTCCCATTGTTGGCATCAGTGGGTGGAATGATGCCCTATTGTTGTTATCATTGGAAGGAATAGTGTCTCAAAGACTGGATAAAGGCAAGCAAAAAGCTGCATCTGACCCGCAGGCCACGGTTTGTAGACTGCGGGTAACCTGAATTCTGATCTGGTTTTAGACACTTAGTAAATAGATAATGCATTCTACATTACTTTATTAACCCCTGCACGCCTAAGGGTAAAACAAATGTTAATGCCTAAGCACAATTCTGCAACTTTGACGTGTTATTAAAACCGTACATATCATCACAACTACTTTGTGCATCCAGGTGGATTATACCTTGTTTTTTTCCATACTAATTGGGCTTTTATTTAGTGGTAATGGATATCCCTTTTTTATTATCAAAGGAAAACTGGCCCAAACTAGTAAAAAAAAAAATTTTTTTTTTAAATTTAGCTGTATATTTCTTGCTACTACCATAAGCTACCACAAAAGAACAACCCAGAAAAAATTCTCCTGCTCCTAATGATTGCAGTGATACCACATATGGGTGCGTTAGTTGTTGTTTGTACCTGTAGTACAGCCCATAAATATTAGTGTGTATTTTGCTTTTTTTCTCTATCTTACCTAAAACACACTGATACTAATTTAAAAGAAAAAATCCTGAACCTGACCTTGACCCAAACACTAACCTTGGCACAGACCTAGATCAAACTTTGATCTAGGTATTTTTTTTTTTTTATTTATTTTTTTTTGTATTATTATTATTTATTATTATTTTTTTTCTATCTATCTTGCCCCATTTGCACAAAACTAATGTACATGCACTTTGATTGGGTGAATTGCACTGTAGTAACATATTCTGTTTATTACCACTGTGGTACAGGAAGGCTTGCTTTAGTTATCAGGATGTCTCTGAAAGCTATTAGTACTGTATACCTTTGCATAAGAAACCTGTTTAAATGCTCATACAAATAATTGTGTGCAGATCACTTGAGTCACATTTTAAAATGTATTCTCTGCCTGTATCTTGTATAGGTCTTCTCATTGCCTGGCTCCACATTTAGTATCCCTTCATCTCACATTTTTGGAAGTCCGTTATCCATGCCCACACTCCTGAGCCAAGCTGAAAGCAATAGGACAGGTAACTATATAATACTTAGAGTATCCTAATAATATAATGCATACAATTCCCCTTTCACTTTGTATTGTTACTAGCGGTTTGCAGTTAGCTGAACAGAGCATGCTCTAGCAGTGGTCCATACAACCAATTTATTTGTCCTGGGACTTTAAATGAGGCACAACACACACGATCAACGAATAAATAGTTTCTAACATTCATTTTAATTAAAGGAATCAACTTCTCATTGCTTATAAAAAGAGGATAAAATGGTAACAAGCTGATTTGTAATAAATCCATTTTAATGCATTTCTTACATAATTGGATATACTATTGACTGTATACAATCCAGATGTCAATACATAATTACATTAAAATTGCATCCAAATATTCAACGCGTTTCGTGACTTAGTTCACTTCTTCAGGAGTCAATGCATGTTTAATATAAACCAGCTACAAATACATATGACAGTATTTCCAAGTGGTGATCGCCAGGGGAGTCTCATCCGGGAGCTGTGAAAGTACGTCTCATAAGGAGTGTTAACCCAGTAGTGACCTGTCTGCAGTTTTTTCTGCTCCGTGATCAGCTATAGTGTATGTTCATTAACCCCTCAGTGATGTGCCCCTAGCTGATAGGATTTAACTCCTTGTGTCCATTCCCTAGATCATGTACATTGAATTATTTCTTAAATAAAGGAATGCGCTAAAACCACAAACTATTCCTAATTTAGTGTAGAAACATTAGTGCAAAAAATATATATATCTATTCTCAATTAATATCAAAAAATATCAAAATTATGTGCAAAACTATTTTTTAGTGCATAAGTAATTTAAAAATTAAGTTTGTGAATATAAAAATTGTCCACTTCTGAATTTCTTCAAATGTCCAAACAAATCCTTTTCAAATTCAGGTGCTCTCAAAGAAATTGTGCCAAAATCCACCACCAAAGTAAAGTTGGGTAACTCACCAGAGCTCCATGCTGATCAATCTCTAGATCAGCAAAAAACACTTTTTGCTCTGGGAGCAGATGCAATAAATCAACTTCTCAGGTGTGATGATCAATAGCTACACAATCATCCATAAGGTAGGTATCCACCACTCAATATAACAGTTCCAGGAGCATTATATCACTCTCTCTTTTTATATCTCTCCACCGAGGTCATGTTTGGGAATGAAAGAAAAAAAATCATGGTGCAGCCAGTTTTTTTATAAAAGTATCCAACAATTTAATTAAGATTTACACTCACAAAAAGGTGTCTTCACCGACACCAGTATAACAGCATAAAACAGCAAATGGTATAACAGTCTCCTGTTCCCCACACTCACTACAGCGCTCGTGACTCAATCCTCTCCATAGACGTCAGCATCCAGCAAGCCAAGCCCTACTAGTTTAGTCATGAATGACGTCTTCAAGGGCCCCCAAATCCGTTTTTTTTTATAGATCTCAACAAGTTTATACGGAATCTAACATTGAAACGCTTTTACAGTAAACAATCTGCCAAAAATACTTCCCAGTCTATAGAGTAAAAAAAAAGAAAATAGGCTGCACACCTAAAAGGCTAAGCTCAAAAAATGCTTATTGATGAATGACATACACAGTAAAAACATTGCATCAGAGATCAGGCGTACATACCCAATCACAAGGGCCCCCCAACCCCGGACTCCCCGGGTCTGCCGTGTCAGACACTGACCGATGGTAAAGACATGTCCACTGGGTAAATGCCTCCCTGATGGAAACCCTCGGCAAACCCAACCACCCCCCACTCTCCCAATGAGACCCAGCCACCTAAACCCCAAAATGGGTAGATTTCAGCATCAAAAAGAGAACTGTCACAGCAACATCAATGTTGCAGCTACCTTTGGAGTTACAGCAGAAGCCTCCATAGGACATGGTTATCCTTCCGGGACTATAGCCACAGCCTCATGCACAGGACCTTGGTGGTCCCATCGTATTGTGAGTACTGGCAATCCTGTGTTGTTACCTTAGTCATATCAGCTGTGTAGACTTGCACAGGCTGGACTTGTCATGCACATTGATGTTGGTGTGACAGTTCTTTTTGATGCTGAAATCTATCCGTTTGCTATTGCTTACATGTTGATTGGACTCCATGTCAAAGCTCACTCCTATCACACAGTGATTGCATTGCTTGGCCATCAGCCGGTCCACCTCAGCAGGCTGCCTGTGCTATTTAATTTTCAACGCCCATGACCACAGTGGACCCCTTCCAATGGATTATATTTTTATGCATCTGACCTGGATACACACAGACTCTTTATATATCCAATTATTACCGTACATTGGATTGGACTCTGAGGCTGCGGCCCTTTACTTTTGATACAACCTATATTTGTATGGTTCTCTACCTATCACATGTTATAGGTTGTTATGCATAGCAGTCTGCTTTATTTTCTTATGTTTTCAATGGCACATTTTGTGTATTGGTGGGTCAGTTATTTCATCTAGCGGGGTCTGGGGGGTTGGGGGTGTTAGTGGGTCGGTGTCTTCTTTTCTTCGGCTCCCTTCTCTCCCCCATAGGGAAGGGTGTGAATGGGTGGGTTTCTTTCTGGGGGGGTCATTGTGGGAGGAGTATTGGGGGACTGGAGGAGTTGTGGGGTTTAGGTTGTTGGGTCTGATTGGGAGAGTGGGGGGTGGTTGGGTTTAGTGGGGGTGCTGAGTTTCCATCAGGGAGGCATTTACCCAGTGGACATGTCTTTACCATTGGTCAGTGTCAAACTGCACAACAAGGGAAGCCAATTATCAGTGGAAGTGTGCCTGCCAGGAAAAAATGCTGGTGAAGTTGTGCCAAGGTTCGAGGCGCATGTCTGAGGGATTTTCTCTTTCTGTAGCCTACCCAATCGGCCACAGTGGTTGTGTGCTTTGCCCCTGGACTGCATTTGTGAGTGCATATTGTTGTTTTTTGTAATAATAAACACTCTGTTTTTAAATATACTACACTATTATCCTTTGTGCTTGTTTCTCTCTGCTTATATTTAAGATGTAGAACTCCCTTCCGCAATCGGTGGTGTCAGCAGGAAGTATAGATAGTTTAAAAAAAAACGTTTAGATGGGCATCTTATGGAACACAAAATACAGGGATATAATACAGGGATAAATAAACCAACATTGATTGAACTGGATGGTCTGATGTCTTTATTAAACCTAACCAACTATATAACTGATGCCAGCCTATTTGGCTGGGTAGGAGTCCTGGATGCCCTCTCGGTGCAGGGGACTTGGTTAGTGGAGGAAACTTGTTTTCCTATTAACATCCTAGACCTCAGGGCAGTTTGGTTGTCCCTTCAATACTGTACCCTTTCATTTTCAAGCTAACCAGAATCCAAGCAGACAGTGCCACAGCTGCAGCCCTCATCAACTATCCAGGAGGCACAGAAGTCATGTTGCTTATAGAAAAGCAGATTTGATTCTTGCTTGGGCTGAACTGCATATTCTGACCTTGTCTGCTGTCTACATCACAGACATACGAAATTGGCAGGTGAACTTTCTCTGGATAGGCATCTGGATCTGGTGAAAAGAGCCTTCCATCTGGAGGTGTTGCAGTCCATTTGCCAAAAGTGGGGAATGCTGAATGTGGATCTTCTGGTGTCAAGATTCAACATCAAATGCAATGGATGGGGTCAGTTTCATCTGATCTATGCCTTTCACCTCTACAACTCCCTCCTTGTCTATTGTTCAGGATCATTCCAGTGATTCTCATGGCTCCGAAGTGGCCCAGGAGAATGTGGTACTTGGAGATAACTCAGACTCCTGGTAGACTGTCCGTGGGTCCTTCCAGATTGTCCTTCATCGGTTGCCTTTCAAACCCATTAGGGATATTCTCTTGCATGACTTCACTCACAAGGTGGCCTTTCTCATTGCTACCACCATCAGTGAGGAGGGTCTTGTGTGTTAGCAGCCCCATCTTGTAAAGTGCCTTTACTAGTGTTACAGGAGGAGAACGTTGTCCTGAGGCCTAAAGCCTCTTTTCTTCATAAGCTGGTTTCCTCCTTCCACCTCAACCAGGACATTGTTCTTCCCTCCTTTTTATATAGTGCTCGAGAACATTCCAAAATAAATATTTTCACTCTCTTGATGTGGTACACATGGTGAAAGTCTATCTCTTAGCTACAGTCTATAACTAGCAGTTGGATTCCTTCTTTGTCCTTCCCCAATATTCTTCCAGGGGGGCTCCCTGCTTCTCGCTCCACGATTGCTAGGTGGTAATCATCAATCCTATGGCCTAAAGATAGGGTTTCCCCCTTCCCTATCAAGGTGCATTCTACCAGATCCGTTTCACATATTTGCAAGGCTGCCACCTGATATTCTGTTCACACATCTGTTAAGTTTTAACAGGTGGATGTTCAGGCCTCCTCTGGTGCCAGTTTCAGGTGTAAGGTGCCACAAGCTGATGTAGGAGTTGAGCTCCTTCTTGATCAGTTTGTTGCAAGAGTGTTAGTGATGTTTGCTATGTTGCCTACCCCTCGGACTGCTTTTGGACATCCCATGGTTAAGACTTGAAATTACCACCATTAAAAAAAGACCTACCATTTAAAATTAAACAAAAAAATAAAACAGATGTAATATTGTACAGCACATGCGTGAAATGAGTGTCATGAGCTCTATTTTGTGCATGCGCAGTAAAACAGTACTTCAAGATCGTTTGTCATGAGTGCCCTCAGGGAAACCAGGAAGTGTATTATGAGTAGGCCGTGTGGGTGAAGCATCTGGCAGCTACTCCTTTTTTTTCTTTTTAATCATTGAGTACCATTTATATGATCTCTTTTCTCTGTAGGTTTACATGGAAAACGGTTAAAACAATGAGGACATGAGTGCTGCATCACTAGGTAGAATGTCTTATGTGCACTCTGCGTTCTGTTTCCATCATTTAGCGAGAGGTAATATTTTCTCGGCATTGCTTGTAGTCACACGGTACCACTTCAGCTAGTCCAACATTGGGAAAGTGCAACATGTCAGATCCCAAACCCATGGGGAACAGACCCTTATATGTGGTCCTTTCAGTATACAATCCTCTGGCAGTCCAAGGGAAGCCTGCAGTGCTTCTTCTTAAGGGCCTGACTTTGACAGCCTGGAACATTGTTCTCTGCTTGAGCCCCTACATTCTTTCTTGGCCCTGTCTGGTGTAGCCCCCTCCTCTGCCTTACCCTTGGAGAATTGCACAGCAGTTATCCAGGCTTTCATGGGCCAAATCGTTATTCTGATTGCTGCCTTTGACTGCAGAGGATATAAGTGTGCCTCTACTCTCCACAATTATTATCTGACTTGCCTGCAATTTTAGTGGCCTCTGAGCCATCTGCTACACAGGCTTTTTCTAATGAAGATTCCTAAAAATCCTTGCTAGAAGATATTTCCCTTGAGTTATTGTAGGTATAGACCATTTTGACTCATTTTGATACAGTGTATTCCAACTTCCAAAATGGAAGAACAGCCTGTAGCTTCTGCTAGTGCTGTTAGTAGCCTGATGAAGTCACATGACATTGTGATGTAACGCGCGGGCTTGTGGTGACACAACTTTCGGTGTGCTGACTCAACTTCTGGGGCGGACGTCATCTTGGAACTCCTATTGAGGTCAATGTACTAGTACACCCACAGCATGTGGATAGGTACTAAAAACTTATCATTTCAAGTTAAATGTGAGTGGAATTTTATACGTTTTTATCCATTTTGAGTTATTAAACGTTAATACACTATGGGAGCACTTTGCATTCTTTTTCTGGGCGAATGAGAAGCTTCTAGGACCACTGAGAGGAGGCTGTATGCGGGACCTTGGCCATCAGAGAGGGAACTGACACGGCGGTGGACCTGACATCCGTTGGAGGGAGTCCGGGTTCCAGACCGGTGGTATTTGATTGTCTAAGGCATTTTGACCCTGCAGGGTCACCGCATGAAGGTGAGGGGCCACTGCACCTAGAGTGGGATTCATAGTATCCTGTTGCACAGTTTGGTGATCACAGGACTACAGTACACCTCCACGATTTGGATGGTTCTGAACACTTTTTTAGATTGGAAATGTATTTATTTATTTTCACTTTTTAGGACACGATCATTTTTTGTAGGTTTTGGTTTTTGTTTATGTTGGTGGGTGGACTATCCATTGTTGATTTATGTTTGTGGATATACGGAAAGTGTGAAGCACTGTTTGAAGTCACTTATTTTCACGCTTATTCAGAACCCCCATTTGGGGTTACGAATCACGTCAGTATCTATAGGCATTTAGCCTATTTTCTTGGTGTTCACTTATCCCCAGTAGGGGGTCACTATCGTTTATTTAAGTGATTGTTTATGATTTACAGACGTTGAGCCTGATTTTCTCTTTCTTTCACAATTACCACCATTTGTGGTTTCACGGATCCACTGTATTTATCCCATAGCGCTGAGCGAACTATTGGCGCTTTATAAATACTGTATAATAATAATAATAATAGTGGGATCACTGGCATTGTTTATATTCACAAATCATTTTGAGCATATACGTGTGTTTACCTTTTTGATTCCTCTTTTCATTTTTTTTCTTATGTTTACCACAAGGAGTGGTTTCACTGATTCATTTTGATTTTTATCCCCTAGTGCAGTGGTGGGCAACCTTTTTTTTTCAACTGAGCCAAATCTCGCCAAAACCACGATTGAAATTTATTTTGAGAGCCACATTTTTAAAACTGAAAATACATAGGATGGTACAAACTGTTTTTAGTTTCAATAAGTTTTTATAGTAATTCATCCCCCCATATAGTAATTCATCCCCCATATAGTAATTCATCCCCCATAGTAATTCATCCCCCATATAGTAATTCATCCCCCATATAGTAATTCATCCCCCATATAGTAATTCATCCCCCATAGTAATTCATCCCCCATATAGTAATTCATAACCAATAGTAATTCATCCCCCATATATAGTTCAATTCATCCCCCCCATATAGTAATTCATCCCCCATATAGTAATTCATCCCCCATAGTAATTCATCCCCCATATAGTAATTAATCCCCCATATAGTAATTCGTCCCCCATAGTAATTCATCCCCCATATAGTAATTCATCCCCCCTATAGTAATTCATCCCCCCTATAGTAATCCCCCCCTATAGTAATTCATCCCCCATATTAATTCATCCCCCATAGTAATTCATCCCCCATATAGTAATTCATCCCCCATAGTAATTCATCCCCCATATAATTCATCCCCCATAGTAATTCAGTATAGTAATTCATAGCAAGTAGTAAGCCAAAGTAGTAAGCCAAGTCCCCCCTGTGTCAATTCACTTACCTTTGCGCCGCGCGTTCCTCTCGCTGCCGTGTTCCCGCGCCGTTCCGGTCTTCAGGGGGACTGTGAGAGGAGCCTAGCTCCTCTCACGTTCGTCACGCTGCCCCGCCTACACACATCCTGACAGCCAATCACTGGCTATCAGGATGTGAGTGGCAGCGAGACTGGCCAATCATTGCATTTGAGCTTGCTGCCCTGGCTGTTTTTTTTTTGGATCACGCTGCAGAGTCCCTGCCGCCCGAGAGGAGGGAGGGGAGCGGGCGCCCGGCACACAAGAGCCGCATTAAAGCGTATAAAGAGCCGCATGTGGCTCGCGAGCCGCGGCTTGCCGACCACTGCCCTAGTGGGATCACTATTATTTCTTTCAACCTGCTTATCCAGGGCATGTAAAGTTTACATGCGTTTATGTCACTTTATTTATTCACTAGTGTTGCCATTCAGGAGTTCATTCGGCATCACAGCATTTTCTATATGTGTATAATTATTTTGTATGTATGTGTGGAATATTTTGTTCATGTACTCACTTAGTAGAGGTGGTGTAGAGGTATATTTTGGGGTATATGTCATATTTTGATTTAATTGCTTTATAAGGGGATATTGTTTATCCATTTACTGAATATCACGTATTGGGGTTCACATATAGTTTTATTAGCGCAGCACCACAATTTACAAAGTAGCCTGGATTCATTAGAGGCTCTAAATCTCCAAAAACCTTTCCAATGGACATGCTACAGGCATCCTGTTCGAAGACTGGTAAACTCTTGAACTATTGAACTATTCACTAATGAACTATTCACACCTCCCAAACACTTTTCAGTCCAGTATCTGTTTGAGGAGACCTTTATTTAGAAGCGGGCCATTCCCACCATTGATCCAGCAGTGTCACATCCTAATAAAGCTCTGATCATTGCTGTAGAGGATGCGCCATTATGTAAGGATCCCATAGATAATTGTTTGGGTGTGCTTTCCAAAACTTTCTGGTGTGCTGTGCTTCAAAGTCATGGCTGCGGTGTTAGTTTGTCAAATATTAGGTAACACTTCTGGATAGAATGCTTAATTCTTCTAAAAAGGGTTTCAGTTTCCATCTAAACTTATTCCCTATTTGTAGAGTTCTTAGAGCTCATGTGGGCTACCCCACATTACTGCAGAGATGGGTATGTGGATGTCTCCCATTTTATTTCTTAAATTAACCTCTTATCAGTAAATGTTGAGAATTGTTTAGTTGAAATTTTGATCTTCTGTGCATTCAGATCTGCAGAACTATATTGGACACCCTCATCAAGATTTTCAATATGGTAAAAATACTCATCGGCCCTAGCAGAAGAGGCCTAGTACAGTTCCTTTCATTAATTCCAGGCTTCCACCTCTTAGACCTTAAGTTCAACCGCAAAGCTTGGGCCTTAAAATCCCCCAAACCTGCAGAAATCCTCCTCAGAATGAAAGGAAACTGCTACTTTCCATAGTGGGGGGGACTTCTCTAGCCTCTGCGGGTGTCTAGACAAACAGCATCTCAGATGCCTGGGTACGGGAAGTAGTTACCAAGGATTACAGACTAGAGTCCCACTCTCTCGCCCCCCCTACCCTTGGTATATGCCTTCCAATCAACTTCCTAGCTGAGCCTTTTCCCTCCTTGCACATCATACTCCTTTTCTTGGAGTGTCTAATTACTGCCTGAGCTTGTACATCCTACCTACATACTCTTTCATATAGCAGCCTAGAGAAAAGTGAAAAAAAAAAAACAATGTTGATTGAGTTATAGCTCTGATTCTGCTGGGGTTGCTGATATCACATCCAAGATGGCAACCCACAGCAGCAGTCTTAGGGCTTTTGGAAGTCTTCACAAGCAAGGTTTTTATAGGTACATTAAATTCACATAATCTTATGGAAAGATTGTTGAAATGGTCTGACAAAAGGATAACATTGACATTGGCAAAAGATAACATTGGCATTAACTGCAATTCTATGTTTTATACAGAACCTGAAATAGAAGATTGCAGCTTTGTGTGTAGTGGAAGTTCTCCAAGAGAAAGTCTTTCCTCCATGTAAGTATTCTTTTTATCCCTTAGTAAAGGCTAAAATGTTACTGATTTCATTAAAGTTAGGATTATTAATAAAATGTAGACATGTCAACTGAAGGTTATACATATAGCGAACACATTTTAGCTATAAAGCAGAACTCCGGACAAAAATGTTATTTTACCATGAAGTGGGGCTGTGCCTCTCACTGTATCGTTCAGCTGCTCATTTTTTCTAGGTGTGAGCACAAAGCTCATGCTCGCTTGGCCCACCGATCCTCCTGAAAACCCTGCTCCCCTTTGGTCCAGCAGTGGACTGTTCCTGTCTATGGAGCTTGCTTTCAGCAATGCTGTCAGGAACGGTCCATTTACAAGACCTCAGGACCGTGGGGGGCAGGTCCTCTCCCCTAGGACGAGAAGTTAACGCATGCAGTGCAGGCACAGACCCACTGCACGGATGAAACATTTTGGCCTGGAATTCTGCTTTAACTAATATGCTCTATCAAACAATATATTAAATGAACACATTAAGTCGTGTGCACCTTCTTACTAGAACTGATCATTAGGCAGCGTGTAAACTGATTGTGGAGCGGGGGAATCTAGGAGTTACAGTGGGAGATGATCAGAGAAGACTTGAGTGAAGGGCCAGAACCAAAGCAGATCATAAACCATGATTAGTGTGAGAGAGATAACTGAGAGGAGCGTCAGCTGCTTATGGAATATCGGAAGACTGAAAGATCACTGGAAAGGAAGGAAGGAAAAAATGTTGGTGGATGAGGGAGGATAATTGTTGACATAGGAGATGGAGCAAAGCAAGAGCATCGTTGAGGGGTGGAAGGGAGGAAGGAGCAGCAGCTGGGATTCCAACTGGACTGCATGCAGAGGAGTTATTGATTTGGACAGTAATGGTAATCAGGGACATATTGTAGACTTGGGGGAGCTATCGTATATGAACTGTTTTTTCTCTCTTCTGATTACACCAAACCATGATACACTTCTGGGAAGGGGTGGAGCTTAGTGGGAGACGACAGGGATTACAACATGGACAACTGCTTCAGATTTATGAAATATAAGGTGGCATTTACTAATCTGCTTGGTAGTTTGTCTCCACTATACCAGCCATTGGACAGTGTTTATAGAAAGGAAAGTATTATGAAGAAAGGGATGCCTAGAATGCTTAAGACCAAGGCTAGACCAACCCAGGAGCAAGAGAGGCACTCACCTACAGATCTGCCCTGCCAACTGTTTACACTAGATCTTCTCCTCCAGTGGGTCTACGCTCAGAATCTAGAGACTGAAGAGGACAGCTGTCACATGGCAGCACTTCTGCTCTGGCGCATCCTTTGTGCCACAAGACCTTGCCCTAGCTCTGCTTAAGATCCAGAACAAAGAAGGAATGTAGCAGCCAGGAGATGTTAAAGTATTTCGTTCACCTTTACCAGATCACTGACTATGCAGGTAAGGGGTGTCTTTGATAAAAACAAACTGTGCAGCTCTGACGAGTTGGATATTGCCCTTACTATAGGTGTAGGCCATTTAGGTGCCTCCAAGAGCCTGAACAAAAAACTCCCAGAGATGGTGTCCCCCACCCCCTATCCTGCCTTGTTGCTAGGACACTCCCAGCTGCTCACCCCATCATAACCAGAGCAAGCTCTCAAACCCCACATGAGCACAATATCTCCTTCGTCACAGCAGCACTGAACTCAGAATTGGAGAGAGAGCGCTCATACCTGTGATGATTGGAGCAGCAGAAAAATCTGAAAATTCTAGTAATGAAGCAGTATGGGGGATGTCTTTTCTGGGAGTTTTTCAGTCTGGATTCAGAAGGCTGTGTAAATGGACTACACCTATAGCATGGGTGTATTCAACTTAGATCAAAGCTGCACAGTTTGTTTTTATCTACTGATGCCCCTTACCTGCATCCTGCATAAGCACAGTGAGGTGAAACTTTCAAGTGTCGTCACAAAGGAGAGTAAGCGGGGAACTGGAGAGTACCTAGTATGGACATGTCAGGGAGAACTTACAAAATATGGAGTGTGGATGGTGAGAGAGAAGCTACTAGAGAACATAGTATGGGAATAGGGAGAGCTTCCAGGGAACATAGTATGGCGAGAGCGTAGTTGTAAACTGGTGGAGGGGATCTGCCAGAGACGGTAATGTACACAGTTTAGAGAGATATGATAGAAGCTAAGGCAAACACTGGAAAGAGGTGCAACACAGGGTTGTGCAGATTGTTTACTTTTTAGATACTGCTAAGTATAAAAATCTGTTTTGGGATATTGACAATGATAAAGGAATGTCAGTACCTGGACATGTACACTACTGAGTAAACATTGTATATGCGAGGGACCTGTCAGCTGTCCAATGCATAACTCTGGAAGGGGGCAGATCTGAGCGTTAAAATGTATGTACAGTTGTGTTCAAAATAATAGCAGTGTGTTGAAAAAAGTGAATGAAGCTCAAAATCCTTCTAATAGCTTTTATTTCCATACACACAAATGCATTGAGAACACTACACATTCTATTCCAAATCAAAACATGAAGAAAAATACATCATATTTGTGTTGTTCCTCTAAAAAAATTGAAGAAAAGTGAATATTAGACTGTTCAAAAAAATAGCAGTGTTTGTATTCTTCTTTACAAACTCAAACATTCACTATATAAACTGAAAAATGTTTGAAGATTTTGCTTTCCTTTGAATCACTTAATGAATATTTCGTTGTATAAGCACTGTTTCTGAGAACTGCTGTACATCTGTGTTGCATGGAGTCAACCAACTTCTGGCCCCTGTGAACAGGTATTCCAGCCCAGGATGATTGGACTACATTCCACAGTTCTTCTCTATTTCTTGGTTTTGCCTCAGAAACTGCATTTTTGATGTCACCCCACAAGCTTTCTATTGGATTAAGATCCGGGGATTGGGCTGGCCACTCCATAACATCAATCTTGTTGGTCTGGAACCAAGATGTTGCATGTTTACTGGTGTGTTTGGGGTCGTTGTCTTGTTGGAACACCCATTTCAAGGGCATTTCCTCTTCAGCATAAGGCAGCATGACCTCTGCAAGTATTCTGATGTATTCAAACTGATCCATGATCCCTGGTATGCGATAAATAGGCCCAACACCGTAGTATGAGAAACATCCCCATATCATGATGCTTGCACAACCATGCTTCAATGTCTTCACAGAGTACTGTGGCTTGAATTCAGTGTTTGGGGGTCGTCTGACAAACTGTCTCCGGCCACTAGACCCAAAAAGAACAATCTTACTTTTATCAGTCCACAAAATGTTGTGTCATTTCTCTTTAGGCCAGTCAATGTGCTCTTTGGCAAATTGTAACCTCTTCAGCACATGTCTTTTTTTCAGCAGTGTGACTTTGCGGGGGCTTCTTGCAGATAGCTTGGCTTCACATAGGCGTCTTCTAATTGTAACAGTACTCACAGGTAACTTTAGACCTTCTTTAATCTTCCTGGAGCTGATTGTTGGCTGAGTCCTTGCCATTTTGGCTGTTCTATCCATTTGAATGGTAGTTTTTTTCGCTTTCTTCCACGTCTTTCAGGTTTTGGTTGCCATTTTAAAGCATTTGCGATCATTTTAGCTGAGCAGCCTATCATTTTCTGCACTTCTTTATATGTTTTCCCCTCTCCAATCAACTTTTTAATCAAGGTACGCTGTTCTTCTGAACAATGTCTGGAACGACCCATTTTCCTCAGAATTTCAGAGAGAAATGCACTGTAACCAGCATGTACCACATTTGCTGCCTTCCTTCCTTAAACAAGGGCAATAATTGCCACCTGTTTTTCAAAGAATGAATGACCTCACTAATAGAACTCCACACTGCTATTATTTTGAACATGCCCCTTTCAATTAGTGATTCAATTACACAGAATCAGCAGCATGCATGTCATGACTGTTGGGTCTGTTGGATTTCTATTACTCTACTACATCTGCTAGTAAATTATTTGCCATGTAGAAATATCATTTCTACCAAAAACAGTGATTGATCAGGTTAGTGATGTCTGACTGCTATTATTTTGAACACAACTGTAAATCCTCACTTTGTAAAACAACCAATTCAGTTTAAATAGAAATGAAAGGCAAAACATATATGTATACATATAAAAAACATATATACGTTTTTTTTTTTTGTTTTTTTTTAATAAGTGATCACATACTCTCTGTTCACAGCTGCATAAGGAGCTCAGGGAGCAGAAACAGCAGCACACTGATCTTCCCAGTGAATGGCTGGGGGGGAGAGGGAACACGTGTTGTAAGAAGTTTGATGATTGGAGGAGAGCAAGTATAGTTCTAGAACTGACCACACTGTGCTTTCATGCCTAGTGTGGTCAGTTTTTAATAGGAACGCAGAGGGACTGGCAGAGAAACCGGGGGTTATACACAAAGCAAGCAATTCAAAGAGAACAGGATACGTTTTCATGGATGTTCCATTATGTTGTTTGGTTTCTCCCTCAGGTCACCCATCAGTAGTCTCCCTCCTCTGTTTGATTCAAGTGGCCCATCCAATAGCGACAATGTACCACAGATCACAGCCAACCTTGAGCAGCTGCTGGAGAAGCATGGAGAGGCAGGGGTTAACAGTAAGACTTGGGGCTTGTGGGTCAAAATGATACATGAAAGGTAGTGCTGAGAAGCAAAATGTGTAAGATCTTATGTTGGTTTGTGATGCATGACAGTGATGTGAATATAAGCAATTCTGCAAACTGGGAAGTGGCAATGGCTGGCAGACCAAACATATAATAAATGAATAATTAATGAATAATTAAAAATAAATTAAAGTGCCCCTGCCCCCCCCATGTTCACGAGCAAAGGTGAACGCACACTCACAGGCAGCGATTGTCCCACACATGTGAGGTATCACCGCGATCGTTAGATCATGGGCAGTAATTTTAGCACTAGAACTCCTCTGTAAGTCTAAAGTGGTATCCTGTAAAGGATTCTGGATAGTAAAATCTACCCTGCTTGTCACCGTTGCAAGGCATGTACAACTTTAAAATGTGATATGTTTGGTATCTATTTACTCAGTGTAATATAATCTTTCATATGTAAAAAAAAAATGTTTTTTGTATGGTGTTTTTTGCATTAAAAATGCATGTATTTTTTGCAAAACATTGCGTTTGAAAAACCACTGCGCAAATACCGTGGACTAAAGTGGATAAAAAGCTGAAGGGTATCCGTCTCCCCCCCCCCCCCCCCCCGTCTCGGTGGATCACATTGGAGGGCAGTGAAGTGTAAACGGACAGCAGGGTCCATTTACACCCCCTGGTCCACAGAGCAAATAGGGCGCTGTCCGTGTTCACTCTGCATAAACTGAGCTGACACAGATGGCTCATCTGCTCGCTCTGCTCTGAACAGCAGGGGATCAACGTGCGATCATAATGGAGTCCGCCCTGTGTGAAAAGAGGTCTTACTAGGTACATTCAACAAGCATTAAAACATTATCCGATTGTCAAAAATTGTATCCAGCAGCTGCCCAGGTCACTGGACTCTTTTCCGGTCTTGCAGAATGAGAATAATCAAGGGTGCATCACAGCCAACTTCTCAGTCCAGAGCTGTGCTTTAGATTTAAATAATTTTCTAAATTGTTGATTTTATTTATGGGATTAACTTTATGTCTTTCTGTTGTTTGCTCTATCTATGTTTTTGTACTGCTGATGAGAATTTAATTCTTATTAGATACTGTAAATATTTTAACATGGTAGCCATTTATTTATTGCTAAATACACATGAGAACACTACAGTTATGTTTTTGATAGCTGTGTACAGGTTGCTATGTAGTCGTTTGTAATTGTTTCACATTTGCATACACAGTTGTGGACATGCTTCAAGCTCTGCACTCTCTGCAGAAAGAGAATCGTTCCCTTCAGGATCAGATTCTGAGTCTCACTGCTCGTAAAGAAAAGCTACAGCTACTCAATGTCCAGTTGGCTTGTCCCTTTCCTCCGAGTTTACCGCCAACCAATATCTCTAATTGTAAGTACCTACACTAAGTATTGTTTATCTTCTCCGTATTGTTCCTATTGATATGCAGTCATATTCCTCTTCTTTTTCTTTTTTAAGGGCCAACTCCTTGTTAATTCATGAAATGGGGTTTAGTGGTAGTTTTAAATTGCACTGCCTCTCAAGCCTAAGTGAATCTCACACCTTGTAAATAGGAAATCAAGGCATGAGGTCATGTGATGCAGCAGTCGCAAATGAAGGACTGCAAATTAGCAATGTGGATAAAAGTAGTAAAATTAATTTCTTTCTCATTCTTTGAGAGACACAGGATTCAGAGACATTTGGAGTTATACCGTCACCTATAGGAGAATTTGGACACTGGCAAATAAAGACATGCTTCTCCTGGAGAAGCTTTCATCTCAAGAAATACTGAATAGGATGAATCCTGACCTTTTTGCAGTCCGGCCTGGATCAGAGTTTGTTCCCGAGTACCATCAAGGGGCATATCTCGGCACTTGTGATCTTGGACTGTTTGGATTTACAGTGCCTTACAAAAGTATTCACCCATTTGGTGTTTATGTTTTGCTGGCAAAACTTGGAATTAAAATGGATTTTTTAGATTCTTTGTACCATGTGATGTACTCAACAGTCTATGACTCTGAGGGTGCAAAATATTTCTTATTGTGACACAAACCTAAAAATTAAAATAGTAAAAAACTTAAAAGACAGGAAAAAAGAACATGCATAAACAGCCCACCCACCCACCAAGTCAGTACTTTGTAGAGCCATTATTTGCTGCAATTATAGCTGCAGTCTCTTAGGGTGTGTCGTCATTAGCTTAGCACATGTAATCAATGGGATTTCTACCCGTTCTTCAAGGCACAACTGCTGCAGCTCCTTCACATTTAGATGGGTTGCATTGGTGTGCAGCAATCTCTAAGTCATGCCACATATTCTTAATTTGATTGAAGTCTAGGCTTTGGCTATGTAATTCCAAGACATTTAATGTAAATGTTTCAATCTCAGCCACTCCAGTGTAGTTTTAGCAGTAGTGTATGTGAACCCTTAGATTGTGTGAATTCTTATAACAAAATAAAAAAGTACCCATTTTTTAATTTTTTTATTTTTATAGACAAACCTGTTGCCCACCATTTCTATTAGAAATGAAAGGCAAAACATTTTTGTGTGTGTATGTTTGTATGTATATATGTGTGGGTGTGTGTACAGTATGTATATATATGAAACAATCTGTGCAACCACATTCTGTATACAGTGACCGAAAAATAGAAAATATATGTTGCAACCTATAATGCCTATAGTGTCTTCACCTCACATACAAAAATAAACACATACAAGATAAACAAAAAATAATGTCCATCAATGAGTCCACTAATCAGTGCTTTAAATTTGTATGTTAAGAATCAAATCTTCTTCCAGAGTATCACCTCGCATGCATACAGGCTATGTGCTAATGGACACTCACCTTCTTAAATGACCTCTCTGCAGAAATGAGGTCAAACAAGTGCTCAAAGATATCTCCTGCTGGGGTTCAAACCCTTGATGACCTGTAGTATATAGGCAGCTGTTGGCAGGTATCATAAAGCTCTCTCCTCATAATGATTGATAACATATGCAAAGCATAAAATGGGAAACAAATGGTGATCTCTGTATATACTCAATCATAAGCGTACAGATAGCATGAAAACACTCACATTCCATGAAAGTACAAGTGCCAAAACCATGCTCTAAGATGTGATGCTTGTCCCCAAATGTTCCCAAGCATGCAGACACCATGTGTAAAAATGGACACTCACCTTCTTCCAAGACCTCCCATCACATGAGGTCTATAAGCACTTTTGGGTGTTTCCTGCTAACTTCAAAAACCAGTGGTGCTTGGGCAAACAGTGACAGGTATCACATCACTCTTTCCTCAAAGCAGTTCATGGCATATGCAAAGCATAACATGAAAGACAAATAGTGCTCTCTGTATATACCCAGTTTAATAAACAATGGCATAAAAGCACTCACATAAAACTAAAGCACAAGTGCTCAGATAGCACATTATAATAACTTCACAGGTCTGACCATCAAACCACCCAACCAGAAATTACATCATGAATGTGGCTTCCTTTCCAATATGCGTTATGCTCAAGGAGAGAAAGAATTGTGTTCTGTCATTTTTAAAGCCATTGTTTCTAATTTTTAGGGGCTCTTTAATGACTGGCGTAGTACCACTGGATTGGCGTAGGCCAATGTGGTTCCTATATTTAAAAAAGGATCAAAGTCTTTACCAAGTAATTATAGACCTGTTAGTTTAACGTCTATAGTTGGGAGGATACTGGAGAGGTAAATAAAAGACCACATAGATGAGTTCTTGCTGGAAAAAAATATTTTACGCAACAGACAGCATGCATTCATGAAAAACAAGTTGTTAGACAAATCTGATTTCTTTTTATGAAGAGGTAAACAAAACCTTAGACAAAGGGCTGTGGGCGTGGTATACTTGGATGCTGCAAAAGTGTTTGACACAGTTCCCCACTCATGGTTAATGTGTAAGGTAAAGTGTACAGGCTTGGAAAAATTAGTTTGTAAATGGATAGAAAACTGATTTAAAGGCCGTAATCATAGAGTAGTGGTTAATGATTCATACTGTGGTCTAGAGCTGTTAGTGGCGTACCCCAAGATTCAGTGTTGGGACACTTACTGTTTAATATATATATAAATGATAAAGGGTTTGGGATTAAAAGTACCATTTCAGTCTTTACAAATGACACCAAGCTGTGCAGTAAAATAACATCATTACAGGATGTCTCCAACTTAAAAGTTGACCTCGGTGCACTATTTAATTGGGCAACTGTGTGGCAAAGGAGGTTTAAGGTTGAGAAATGTAAAGGTATGCACTTTGAGGCTATAAATGTGCACACATCTTACATACTAGGGGGGATACAACTGGGGGAATCAATGGTGAAGGATCTAGGAGTTCTGGTAGAATATTGGATTAATAATCAAATGCAATGCCAAGCTGCGGTTTCCAAAGCAAGAAAAACCCTCTCTTGTATTAAGAGAGGTATGGACTGCAGAGAGAGGCCTCTTTCAGATGGGGCGGATCTGTCTACGTGATCTGGCTGCTCAGCGGGGGATCTCTCCGTTGATCTCCACTGAGCAGGCGGATGGCAGTTCTCTGTCCGCTCTGCTGCTGCTGTGGCCCCCTCTCTTCCATCTCTGGATGCAGTTTGTGGCGCGGGTGCTTCCTGGGGTAGTCGGTCCTGCAGGGTCCCCTCTTCCCCTACAGCCTTGGGTGATTAGACCCTCTATCCCCTTCCTGCCCTCTTTCCCACTATTACCCCCCTGGATCACCTGTACAAGTTAGTCAGCTATTGTGGCTAATGACAGCTGGTTAGGCAGCCCCTTGCTTTCTGCCCGCAGGGTCTGGTAGTGCAGGTGCCTTTCCACTTCATGCCCAAAGCCTGGTGGGCTGTTCGGTGAAAGGCTGTGTGGATTGTTTTCCTGGCACCTGGGGATGGCCTGTATTGAATGGATTGCAAAGGAGGACCCTCCAGTCTTGTACATGTCTTGCGGCTGAACAGGGGTGTTGGCTACGGTGCTCACGCAGGTGGTCTCTTCCGTGTTTATGGGAGCTCAGTTTTATGCAGGAACCCCTCTCTCTCCCCGCTTGTGTTCACAAACCATGCGGCAGTGATGGCCGACACTGTAGGCTGCAGCTTTGCAGGCTATTTTTAGAGGATGTCCCGTCCATCATTCAGTTTGTGGGCATACCAGTATATGCCGCTCCTTCTAGGAGGTGGGGCTGAGGGGGGTACATCTTGCGCGAGCTATGGAATTGGCCATATTGTCTGCGGGCACCTGCTCCTACAAGTTGTTTTGGCCGGGTGGCCAGCACCAGTCTCCCGCTGGGAAATTGTGGTGGCTGTGTACTGCAAGGCAGCCAGAGGCACAGCACGACGCCTGTTGTCCCCTCCCAAGACTGAGTGGGGGCAGCTTCCGTGTAGGGCTGCGAGTGGCTCCTGATGCCACACTGACTACTTCACTGGTAGTGCTGGAAGCATAAATACTGCTGGCTGCTCATCTGGGCTGCTGGGAGAGCGAACTGCCTCTCCTTGGCTGGGAGAATTCCGGGGTCCCTTTCTCGCTTTTGTTACCTGTGGTCCTCACTCCTAGTGATTTCATCCTTGGGTGACAGGGTTAAGAAAGCATGGAGCGTGTCTGGTTCATTGCTTTGAGATGGCCCATGTATCCTTCCCCCCCCCCCCCCCCCCCTGTAATGGCCTTTCACGCCCTTAGTTTTGCTTACATTTGGCACTACTAGTTGGATCGTCCTCAGCTCTGGTGTTCCAGAGCTTTCTGGCAGGTCAGACCTCGCTAACGCTGGCTTCATACTTGACGGGCGTCCCTAGTGCATATGGCTCTGGAGAACCCCGCTGGCCCAGGGCCCATAAGTACTTTTTTAACACATCCCTGGAGGCGCCTTGCTGTTGCCCAGTTCTATTGTGGGGCAGTGGAACTAAGGTAAGTACTTTGGCTAAGTTGGGCTGCTGGACAGCATAAGCAGTGGTCCCCATGGCCTTGTCCTTCTAAGGCAGTGGTTCTCAACCTTCCTAATGCCGCGACCCCTTAATACAGTTCCTCATGTTGTGGTGACCCCCAACCATAAAATTATTTTCGTTGCTACTTCATAACTGTAATTTTGCAGTGGGAGGAGTAGTGCCACGTCATTGGTGTCAGTGGGAGGAATAGTGTCCCATCACTGATGTCAATGGGAGGAATAGTGCCCCATCATTGGTATCAGTGGTAGGAATAGTGCCACATCATTGGTGTCAGTGGGAGGAATAGTGCCCCATCATTGGTGTCAGTGGTAGGAATAGAGCCCCATCATTGGTGTCAGTGGTAGGAATAGTGCCCCATCATTGGTGTCAGTGGGAGGAATAGTGCCCCATCATAGGTGTCAGTGGGGGAATAGTGCCCCATCATTGGTGTCAGTGGGGGGAATAGTGCCCCATCATTGGTGTCAGTGG